GTAGTTATTCCTGCTTAATTAATGTCATCTGGTTGCTGCCCCATAACAGGGTCTTCAATAATCTTAATGAAATCTGGGTCCAACAGAAAAAAGGCCAGGGGAAAACAAAAGACTGAGAAGGCAAGAACTGACAGAATATTTATATTACTAACCAGTTAAGCTGAAGCTTTCTGGAACCTAAGTTTAGCCATGTGGTACCTAATATTCTCATCAAAAAAGCTTTTGCACATACTTCATTCCTGGATGTTTCAGCTAAAAACAACCTTGCTGAGATATCACACAACAGCAGTTGTAAGGCTTGCATCATGTAGGACAGTCATGGAAGATCTACTGGCTTGGATGCTTTGCAGATTCATCATCCCTTTTTTCAAATCATGATTCCATAGACAACGTTTTGATTTAAAAAAAAATCTTATATTCTAGTTTAGGAGGGTAATATAACTGGTTATATTACACTCATTTTCAATTTGCTATACTATGTGAATGTAATATGTATAGCATAGTATAGTATGTATAGTGGTACAGTAGAAAAAATTACATTCTGAGTAGATGGTCATATATTGTTATTATATATACTATTTACATATTAGCCAAGGTAGCGCAGTGATTAGAATGCAGTACTGCAGGCTAACTCATTGCTCACTCCAGGAGTTCGATTCTGAATGGCTCAAGATTGACTTAGCGTTCCATCCTTCTGAAGTCAGAAAAATGAGGACCAGATTGTTGGGGGCAATATACTGATTCTGTAAACTGCTTAGAGAGGGCTGTAATGCACTATGAAGTGGTATATAAATCTAAGTGCTATTACTATTGCTATTAGTACTTATTCAGTATTACTACAATATATTACTATGAAAGAATAGAAACACATACCCACACCATTTGATTTATGGAAAAAAATTAAAAAATTAAAAATAATAAAATGAGCATAAATGTGTACATGGAAATGTGTACATTTCCAAGATTCATCCCTGATTATTGATGATAAGACTGTTTCATCCTGCCACCATCAGTAGCCATTTCTGCTTCATCACACAAGGAACTTCTCAGCTTTAGAGGCCAGAATTTACAGTCCTAATTGCCCTACTCAATATCTTTTCTACTGTTGCCTGCCAGTCAATGTCTAAATTCAATGTATCCCTTATGATAGGTTCAGTTCAAAAGTAAAAGGCAGGAAGGGACAGAAAGGAAGGGACAGAATAAAATAAGTAAATCCCAGTGTTCATTTATATATATATAATTCTTATATAATATTGCTCTTGCACTCAATGTTTTAAAAGTTCAGTAAAGAATATCCTGTTTTTACTATCCATATTAATCCAAAATGTTTAGGAGGAACTGTGGATGGGAAGCAGAGCTGGCTTCAAAGGCTTAATTGCTAATCCATCTGAAAAAAGGGTGATGTGGATAAGGTAAAAGGATAGACTGATAAGAACAATACAAGAGAATGTTGAAAAACTCCAACTATAGTATATACTTCAGACAAACAGAATAATTCTAAAAAACAAAAACAAAACGAGAAAGGATATTGCTACTGTTTCCTAATTTATATAGCATCCTGTAAAACACAGAAAAATAGTGCAAAACGGGAAGCTGCAGAAAGGCTGCAAAACTGAATTTTGCTTAATTTAAAACTCTACAGTACTTGTCTCATTCAGTTTGAAATGTGAAAGGAGTCTTCTTTTATCCCAAAGGTGCTTTTCACAAGGCAACTGAACTTCCTTGTTTTTCTTTAAAGACGTTTTGCTTCTCATCCAAGAAGCTTCTTCAGCTCTGAGCTGAAACAAGGGCTGAAGAAGCTTCTTGGATGAGAAGTGAAACATCTTCAAAGAAAATCAAGAAAGTCCAATTGCCTTGTGAAAAAGCACCTTTGGGATAACTATGACCTGGATGACTGAGAATCTCCATAGACGAGTCTTTTTTTAGAAATTCTTGCTGTCAAATGATTCACTAGAAAATTTTATCTGCTAGTGAATATTTTGAAATCAATTGTTTTCCTTTTTTAAAGAAACACCTTTCTTTTTTAAAAAAAATTAGATTTATGAGATAAAATTAAGTTTCCAGGGATTGAGAAGGACTCTCCATACCTGGCTGGGGTGGCTTATAGTATTATTACTCTGACAGTTTCTGTTGGCTGTTTCCTACTATGATATAGATATTTCTTCTCAACATACCTGTCACATTATTTAACAGAAGCATAGAAGTCAAATCTCTAACTTAAGCAGCTTGAAATCTAATCCATGTTCAAAAAAAGAGATGTTCCATATGTCTAAACCAACTAACAATAACTTCAGAGCCTTTCTTGTGGGGATTGCAGTTGTTCTATGCCACATTCATGGAAGAATCTCAGTTCAAGATATTGTTTACTATTTGAAATTATCAGATGGATCAACAGATTTAATTCTAACAGTAAAACTAACCTGTTTAAATATAATCCCAAAGGTAATTTTAGTAGTTTAGGTTTTCATACACGGACTTGAATTCAAGTTATTAGATGGAGACTCAAAAGGACATTTTAATTTATAAAACTCTCCCAGTTCTAAAAATGTTGAGTATTTTTAATTTAAAAAGACAGCTGCAGCTTGATTAATTTCTCATCAGTACTGGGCAGTATCATTTATTTCATTTAATTATAATTATAATCCATTCCTGCAATATAGTACACCAACAAATAATACTGATATTTTGTAGATAATATTAAATAAATATCAGATGCATGGTTTTAAAATATTGCATGTCTGATGGTTCCTCACTCAGTACAGAATTTACTAAATATTTTATGCAAAAGTAATCTTAGTGTTAAATTATTCTAGGTGGTCACATAGAGCAATGCTTCGTGTGCGTTTTTTGGGGGGGGGAACAGCAAGATGGAGAATCTATCTTATTTATCTTATATTTGTATTTTTACGTCCGTGAGCAAAAGAGTTAAAAGAAAAATAAACAAGATGAAGATACAGTATCAACAATGTAACAATCCACCAGTATTCAATATAAATTGCAAAATGGATATGGAAAATAAATCATATCAGTTTCCTATCTGAATGGAATTGAAATAGAATTTAGAAAATAACTCAGTGATTTATATATATATATATATATATATATATATATATATATATATATAAAATAAATAATACTCGATCACCGGGATAGTTTTAAGTAAAAATACTTTACTAAAAATACTTTACTTTGCTAAAAAAAGTTGCCAAGCTTTCACTGGGAAAACTCCCCAACATCATCAGGGCTAAAAGGCCGTTCTATCTATCTATCTATCTATCTATCTATCTATCTATCTATCTATCTATCTATGTAGGTCTTTGGTTATTCAGGTTTTCTCCCACGTAAAATTGGAAGTGTCTTGGCGACGTTTCGACGAAGTCTCATTCGTCATCTTCAGGCTGGTGCTTTTGGCTTCGTGCTTATATATATATATATATATATATATATATATATATATATATATATATTAAAGAATGCCAAAAGGCTTGGGTTTAATCCATGCACAACTTAAATTATTTGTTGATATTTATAGATATATCTTCATTTAAATGAGACAATAAATATCACACTCAGAGACGGTTAATATTAACAATAGCAGCAACCTAAAACTTTGGAAAAATATGAAGAAATATCAGCTTTGGGCTAATATGAAGGTGGCTTTTAAATTTTTACAAATTAAAAATAATTTGCCCAAGAAAGCTAGGAAAACAGGAAAACACTTATGCTTAATGCTCAAATTTAAAATTTAAAATGTCTCCCTCATTAAGTCTGGCTTGCCTCTTGGTGACTGCACAATATGTCTATGTAGTTTTCTTGACCACATTGCAGAAATGGTTTGGCATTGCTTTCCTCTGGGAGAAGAGATTATTGCTTTTATTATGACTTCGCAATATAAACTCTCATTCTGCTTTTTTGGGGGGTGGGATGTCTCACATAAACTTTTTAGCTTTTTGAAAATAACCAAGTCAAATGAATGCATGAATGTCTATATATAATAGACCAAATAAGGAGATGAGCTAGTCGGTCCTGATAAATAAAGAAAGCATGGATCGAAACAGTTATTTAGGACGATACAAAAAACATAAACATGTTGTTTTTCTGCAGTTAGTATAAGCAATTAATACTGTAACATAATTCTGTGTATATTTATATAGAGAAATGCCCACTTACTTTGAGAGATATTTAATTGTGGTTAAGCACATATGATGGCAGTTTAGATTGTAAGGAAATTATATATAATATTATTTTACATTGTAACAATAATACGTTACTTCTGCTCACGCTTTTATAACATTTTGAAAAATGACCAGAAAATGTGTTGTTATAGACAGCACATCAATAACACAACTGTGCTATTTTCAGAAAATAAATAATACAAAAACATGCCAATTAGACATTGTAGGTATTATTTTTTTCCTTATAAAAAGTTTACTGTTTGCATAAAAAACTAATTTCCATAGGAACTTAATAAAAGATTCTTTTTTAACATACAAGACTTCTAATTTTTGCTATGACAATTTAACACAGTTTTTTCCTAAAATATATTATGAAATTTATGGTATATAAAATTCATTCACAGATAACTCTCATGAATGTGAAATATACTTTCAAATATATTAGAATGATTAAGTAAAAAAGCACATATTAAATTCAGGTAAAGAGTACAAAGACAAGCACATATTTGTGGATTTAAGAGTATTTAAACAGACTGAAGATAAAACACAATTGCTGTTCACACTCACAGCAGTATAGCTAAAATACTTCATGATTTTTAGCTGTACTAATTTAAAACTACAAAACAATTGATTTATCAATAACATTAAGCTTGCCTAAAATGTTGACCATCTAAATTTTGGGGGAGGGTTGCCTGATTTTGAGGACACATCTAACTAAGGTATATCCTTGTATATCCTGTTTTATTAATTTGTTCCTACATATTTCACATACGTATTTCACTTTCTAATTTTACTATAGAAGTTAACAGTACATGAAACTGTTACCTTTGCAAGTGTCCTAGAGAGTCACTTACAGTATTCTTCACCTCTTCCTTCCCAGGCTTTAAAAGTCTCTCTTTTAACGAATTTAACACTTCAAAAGGCATCTTCTGTTTTTTCTTAGATAAATCCTTTTATGTAAAATAGACTGATCATCATCAATTTTTTTCAATTCTAATAGTCTTTTTTTCCTGTTCTGTTCTTTTTTTTTCTTTTCTTCCTTGGGAGAGTGATCTGGCAGATACGTTAATCTTCCAAACAAAATAACCACACCGAAATTATCAATAGATTCTCCCAAAGATGGTCAATAATTCAGTGCAAAATGAAGGAGGTCTGTTTTGCATTTCTTGTTATTCTGCAGTCTTCAAAGGAATAGACCTGAAAGTGAGTAATACTGGACCTGATGTTAAGCTTATGCATCTGACTAAAGCACATTATAACATGCTGCTCATCCTCTTTCTAGGCTTTCTTCACACATGTGCTCAGTGATGCTATAGTAACGAACACAATACTGTCTCTCTGGCCATTTGAGCTTCTCCCTAGCAAACTTTATTAAACATTTATGCATTCTCCCTCCCAATTTCAAACCATGCCTTTTGCTCCTATTTTGCTTTTGTTTTCCTGCTGAATCCCAGATAACGATATTGCCTGACATAAAGAGAGACAAACAGACAGATAGACGGATACACACACACACACATACACACACACACACACACACACCCTAATATTCCACTTGTGACTGATCTCATTAATATCTCCCTAATACAGAATCACTATATACTGTACAAATGGTATTGGATACAAACTAGGTCACACTGAAAATTAGTGGGGGGGAAAGGAAGAAATTGATATTGAGTTACACTGAGATTTAAATACTTCCAACTGAGTTAGCATAAACAAACTGCTCAATTCTTTTTTCTAAAACAATACACACACAAACACACACACACACACTGATGCCAGACCTTCTCATTTTGTTTAAATAAGGATCTAATTATACCAGTTAACGTAATCTGAATGAAATGTGACTTTTGTAGGTATGTAGAAAATACGATTCAGATATTACACTAATATTGTACCAGAGGCCAGGTGTTTTCTCTGAAGAAGTAATTATAGCCTATAGTTATAATTTATGTTTATTATTGTTGTGAATGTGGCAATTTGAAATGTATTATACTTGGAGAAATGAAAGCAGAAAATGAAGATATGTCAGGATAAGCACTGACATGGTTAATAAACTAAAACCTAGGACTCCATTTAATAGATAATTAGAAACTTTAAAGGAAGAGTATGATCCAGTAATACCATTGCAATCTCTTGTTTTCCTCTCTCAAACTATATTAGAATCTTCTCAACAGTTTAGGTAACCCCTATAGTGGACCTGGTTAATATTTGGATGGGAGATCACCATAGAAGCCCAGGCTGCAAGTCTAAGCAAAGAAGAAACCCTCACACAAATCCATCCATCCATCCATCCATCCATCCATCCATCTGGGTTGAGATAATATTACATCAAAACAACACAAATGCAGCAAACAATGATTTTATCCACCATTATACAGTATAGTCCTGATATCTGATGCAATTAATATGCAGTTATGCAGTTTTTATATTGTGTCATCATGGCACATGAAAGATTTAACATGTTCCTTATAAACATTTATAAGTGCCAATTATAACACTATTGCTGGAATATACTAAATTAGATACTCAAGAGTACAAAAAGTATGGAATAAGGCATTGAAATATTCAATATCTAAATATTAAGGGCAAACTATTTGGTGAATTACGTAAATATTTGGATAGTGTAGATCAGGGGTGTCAAACAGCCGGCCAACAGGCCAGACTCATCACAACGAAACCGTGCCCACCCCATTGCCGGCAATGAGAAAAAAGTTCTGATGTGTTGCGTGACATCATGTGACATCGTGAGTTTGACATGTCTGGTATAGATGGTAGTAATTTATATAATTAGTTGCCTTTTTTCCTATTATTCTGCAGTTATATAAATGTTAACATTGATATCACTAATATACATGTTTGTTTAATGCTTGTTTAATATATAAAGTATATACTTTGGTGAGTGATTAAATTACTTTTGTATTTTCAAGTAAAATAAAATATAAAATAAAATACACTGATGCATAGGCATTAAAATATGTTTTATTAAATGCAGTATATAAAAAATTAATTAAAATTATAACTATGTGACGATTTAAAAATTTCAGCTCTAGAGACTAAATAAATTTATTAGGATATGAAAAGAATTTTCTGGCTGTACTAAAATTCTAATGTATTTGTTAATAGTTTACTCAATTTTGTAAAAAAAAGCAAACATATTCCTGACAAAAGGAGCATCTAAGATAGAAGGAAATAGCAGAAAAAAACATCTACCTGTAGTAATCATCCTCTTCTATGAACTGAGCTTCAGTTTATTGAACTTCAAAGCATAGGTGATTTAGAACTTCAAAACATAGTTGATATGTATGTATGTATGTATGTATGTATGTATGTATGTATGTATGTATATATGTACATCAGATTTATATAGCTGCCCATCTCACAAATGTGACTCTGGATAGCATTCAATAAAATAATCAATTAAAATAATTAAAACAACAGTTAAACATATATATCAACAAAACTAGAGAGTGGAGAATGGATCATTATCTTACATACAGTGTAACCATCTCATAGGCTTCCCTATTTTCCTGAGATTCCCAAACCTGTGTGAAAAACCATGATCTGAGTGATTTCCTTTATCCTTATATTAAAAATGGTGCATGTACTAGATCAGAATATTACTAAAATGCACAGTAAAACCTTCTTCCAAAATGTATGCAGAGGGGGAAAAAATACAGTTAATTACGTCTGAAAAAGGAATATTCAGTACTATAGAGGTAGTCCTCACTTAGCTATTTCCTTGCTAATAGTTGTCGTGGGTGTCAGTCCAAAATATCTGGAGTACCACTTGAACACCATTGGCATTGAGAAAATCACCATCCATCTATCACAAAGCTAGCTTTACTTGGAATAGCTTATATATGCAGCAATACCTTTAATATCATTAAACAATTTCTGCCTATCATAGGTCCATGGGAAGGACTTGATAAGTGGATAAAAATGCCAAATCCAGTCTAAACATCTGTGTGTGCGATCAACCATAATAAAAAACAATGAAAAAGTTTGTCTTGAGGAAAGCTGGTTTGTTATTTGTTTCTATATAACATATAGATAGCTCTTAATTTAGTTCTTCAATACAAATTCATACTCTCTATATAAACCAGGGTTTCTGTGGATTCTGTTACATTCCTTATTTTACTTTAAGCAAAAACTATTTCTGAAACCACCAATATATTTTTAAATGAACTTAGAATTTTTAAAAAGCCAAAGCTCAACTAATGTTATTTTATATTTTGGAAAAAACAGTATTAATGTCTGCTTTCTTGTGGTACAAGTGCTTTCACTCTGACACATCACATGACAACAAAAACAATTTCAGATTTTAACCGTTGTCCTCAATATAAATGATGCTGCTAAATTTACTTTCTTTGATACTGCTGATATCAGAGACAATTTATGCAGGATCAGTGATGTCCTAGACAATTATTCCAATAGTCTCTAAAACTTGCATCATTTTGCATTAGTGTCACTCAGCCCTTGGATCAATAATACCACCTTCTGGATTATTTTTAATTTGCAGCCTCTGGAGACTGCTACACTAAGGCTATCCAAAGGTATATTCTGATATTTGTTCATCTTGCACAAAAAAATATTGTTCCATAATAAACATTATTTTATTGCATCTGTCAAGAAAAATATATAGATGATAATTTTAAGGGTTTATTAGTTTATTCTTTTCTGTTTGAAAGGGGGGATTGGGTAAGGCTTTTTGTCTCTTGGTTTCTCTGTATGTGGTTGTCTTTGTATTGCTTCTTGGTTTTTAATTTTGTAAATCACCTAAAATTGAAGCAGTGAGATGGGCTGTGGTATATATTTAACAAATGTAGACCTGTAATACAATATATGGAATATATACAGCATATGTTTATTCAATTTATAGCCATCTTTTATGTACAGAAGCTTAAAGGAATCCATCCATCCGTCTACCATCTCTTTCTCCTTCTCCCTCTCTCTTTCCCTCTCGCTTGCTCTCTAATCTATCAGTATCTCTATCTCACAATCATGTAGTAAGCTTCTCTGGCAGAGGGTGAAGTAAAATCTGAATCTCCTATTCCTAGTCCATTAATTTAACTGCACCACTGAATCTATGCCTGTATAAGAATACATTACTTTATTATGTTGCATATATGTAGTAGTAGTATTACATCTTACCTCAGACCTTCAACCCACCCAAGAGCAGGATTTTCAGCAGTGTCACCCTGATAAATCTAACTGGTTGAGCTGATATTGTTCACATCCGCTTTAAATATGCAATTTAGCTGTGGCATCATCTTTTTATAATGTTTAAATAACTTGATTAAGCATATATTTAGGTAATGTTTGAAAGTTTTAATTTAAAACAAACACTTATTCTAAATTTAGAATATTGAAATCAGTTTTTCTAAAAACTGACATTGACAACATAATAGAATTTATTTTCTGCCAGATTATTTTAAGCAGGGTAACAACCACAAAACTCTATGCATGAAGTCATTGAAGAATGAATCTTGGCTGATCTTGAAAGAAGTACAGTGAATCTCATTAGTTATATACAGCGAAGATCAGTGACTCTTATTATATACAGATGCAACCAAAGTGCAGATAGTCCTTAACTTATAACAGTTCATTTAGTGACTGCTTAAAATTACAATGGCACTGAAAAAAGTGACATGACTTTTTCAGACTTACAATTGTTGCAGCATCCCTACAGTCACATGATCAAAATTTGGACGCTTGGCAACTGACTCTTATTTATGACGATTGCAGTGTCCCAGGATCATGTGATCACCTTCTGACACTTCTGACAAGCAAACTCAATGGGGAAGCCAGAGTCATTTAACAATCATGTTACTAACATAACAACTGCAGTGATTCACTTAACAACTATGGCAAGGAAGTCATAAAGTGGAGTAAAACTCACTTAGCAGCTGTTTTGCCTAGCAACAGAAATTTTGGGCTCAATTGTGGTCATAAGTCAAGAACTACCTGTATTGGT